GGTAAAAGTACAAGTGGAACAATAACAATAGAATACATCACAGATTACAACAAAATTTTCACTTCTCATCTCAGAGAAACAAGAGATAATATTTATACAAATATGGTAATATGGATGCAACAGAGCATATGTACTGTCTCCAGAGACAACTGTTGGTTCACTTCTGTGCTGCAAAGGCATCCACACCTCTGTGTATGTGGCACAAGATTTCTCTCATGCCCATCAGTGATACTAAGCCTTAAATGACTGAATCTGTTTTATAAATCCATCACTAACAACTGTTCATTAAAAGCTCCAACATCCTCCAATAAATCAATATCCTCTCCTCCTTCAATATCATATACACAAAACAGATGTCAGCTGCCATAAGGAAATAATTGGCTCCCAAAGTATGCCCACCTACTACATCAAAATAAATATATTTTTCATTGTTTTGCCTTTAGAATTTTTTGTGACTTAGAAATTATTCACTGAACTTAATCATACTTGACACACAAGTCTGAAAAGTGAGAAATGTGTCCAACAGCTTCTTCCTAATTTCAGAGAGAAGAGAGAATGGATTGCAATAGTATGAATAAAAGGTTAAGTAATATATCATGCATCAGTGAATGTGAGCTGGGAAAGTTACGACCTAGGCCAGTAATAGTTCCAGAATACTGTTCCTTAGGCTGCATGTCCAAAGCTCATGGAGATTCTTCTCTCTTTAGTACAAAATTAAAAAAAACTCCCTGTTCAAGAAAAGAAACAAAACACACCTCAAGGAACATGGAAACAATTTCTTTGCTAGCTACAGGTTTGATAAAAATGAAAGAGACTACAACATGAAACAATTACACAAACGGTACTGAAAACATATTGTAAAACACTAGTAAAATATTAATCAGACTTATCCCTTTTGTACTAATTAGCAAAGTCATTGTTCCCTAATTGGAAGTCGCTCAGCAAGAAAGAAAATTAACAAGCTTCCCTGCATGTGTCTAAAAATATTCACCATAATGAAAATGTAGTATTTCTTTTCCCTTCCCCCATCTGTGATCTGGATCAGATCCCTTTAGCAGAATGAGGCCACCATCTCATTTTAAAAAAAAAAAGACAAAAAAAAAAAAGAAAAAAAAAAGAAAAAAAAGGAAAGGAAAGGAAAAAAGAAGTGTTCTTTGTTTATATGTAATTTTTTATTTTTTTTTTATATTTTGGAGTATATTATAGTAATATAGAAACATCTTAAATTAATAGGCACTCATTCCCAAGACTGGGATAGTTTTCATACCTAAGGATTTATGATGTGCCGTATGGTGAAGTGTAGTGTAAGGACATCAGCTTCAGTTTGCTCAAATGACAGAACAGCCTGGGCACTGTTTCAGGCTAAAATTATCCATACAACCCTCATAATTTCCCTCAGTGCAGACACTTCCCAAGGACCACTTTTACCAGGACCAGGGAATTTCCTATCTTGAAATATGTCTTATACTAAGTAACGATGTAGTGGTTTGATTTTCCTTCCAAGTCATCCTAGCAGAGCTGGTGCTACAACTCTTTAAGATTTGGTTAGTAATATGGGTTGGAGTCAACACTCCAGCTTGGTGGTTTGGAACTGAATTGATTAATTCTCAGTGAGGTGATGTGAAAGTTTGAGTTCAGGATGTATAAATCTCTTTCTCATTGCTCTTGTCACTGTTACTAAGCTTGCTAACAGAGTATACCATTTAATTGATCTTGATAATTTATTGTGAATTGGTTTACAAAGCAATTTTGTCTCCAGATTCCCATAAACATATAAGTAGAAAGTACTTTATTTGTATTACCACATAAAAATATAAACATGGGTGTAAACAAATAATGTGCCCCTATTTTGAGATACTATTTTTTAGAATGTCTCTGATAAACTTTAAAGGTAGAAACTGTTTGGTTTATTTTAAGTCATCTATTCAGTAAATCACAGGAACAGATGCAGCTATGATGGAGTTTATATAGAAAAATTCTTTACCATGGGATAAAACGGAGAAAAGTCTAATGCTTATGTGCTTACATACTCTCTTCATCATCAGTGGTGAAATTTGGTGTGCATTAAAAAGGGGTTTTGGTGCTTATAATTGAGTTTCTCCTAATCACAGCTGACTGGAAAAACATCATATGGCCAGTAAAATACCCTGAAAATAAAGATTTGCTAAGAAAAAAACCTCATTTCTGTTCTTCCTTTTATCTTTTTTACATAAATTCTACAAATGCATCTACAAAGTATCAAGATCATTAAAATTTTCAATTCACTAGTGATCACAGAGTACAGAAAAAGTTTGTGTTCAAATATGGGTTCAAAAGAAAAACTCTGCAACTGTATTTACCACAAAATCCATGTCTACAAATTACCATTAAGTTCTGTAATACATTACAAAACCCCCCTCCAAACAAACAAACAAACAAAACCCCACAAAACAAAATGAAAAACCAAATAAAACATTCAAATGGATGAAGTCCCCACAATAGCAGCAATAATGAGTTAAGAAGCATAACTTGAATCTGTATTTTAAGCACTGAGTGTGCCTGCAGTAGAGAAGAGGAAAGGGGGAAAATGAAGTAGGAAACCTGTGGTGACAGGATCCATCTCTCAGCCCTCTTGTCCTCCAAGTTTTCCAGTCCTTTCCATATTCCTTATCTTTTTAGGCTGGGAAAATGCTGCCATCATGTTATTCCTTGTGCTGACCCATCAGCTACTTTGCCCATAGTCCTTCAAAAGAACAAATGGGATGGCTGCAGATCCTTCTTTACCTTATCCAGCTACAGATCTTGATAAAGCTTTCTGGAACTTCCTATTTTTCAGGCTGCAGTTTCTCTAGTAAACTCAGATATAGTTGGCCAATGGATTTAAGAGTTACTGGGAACTGGAGGTGACAGGTTGGCACGTGGGCAGCAATGTAATTGCATACTTTTTATCCCAGCAAAAACCATGCTGAATATAAACAACACAGATATAAAATAGTGAAGGAATATGTCCTGAATCAAGCTCAGCTGTAACAGGATTGTCAGTTATCTGTCACCTGCATCTTCTTTAGAAGTTTGCTAACCAGTCCATTTTCAATTTGCTGACACGTGAAAGCTAAACTTTTGCCACTTTTTAGGAATGGCAAGAAAATACCACCTTTTTTTTCCAGCTGAATCAGTTTATCTAGACTGTGAAAGCTTAAACACCAAGAGCATACTGCCAGCAAAGACAGAGAAAAAAATATCTGCTTACTTCCTGATAGGATAATGAGAATGCAGCAGCGGAGGTGTGTATTTCAAAATCACAGCAAGCTGTGCTTTATCCAGAATGGTACCACAGCATTTGACACATGTGCTGTAACCACATGGAAACCATGGCAATGGAGGAAAATTGTAGGAGGGAGATTGTACAGTACGGCAGGGAAAAAGTCCTCGGCAAAACCAGGAAAATACATTTGTATTATGTAAAGAAGATATGACACAGTTGTGCTGTTCAAAGGTTATTCCTTATATAAAAAGAAACATTGGTAATAGTGAAAATACTTTCTAGAAGAGTAGGCGCATGAGCAATGGTAGGTAGGTAGGTAGGTGGAACAGCGTGGGTTGTGGGACCAATATTAGACTTAAAGGAGTCAGAGAGGAAAAGTCCCAAAAGATGAAAAATCCCTTCAAAAACAACAGTGAAAGCAAAAGGGAACATGTTTTTAAGTTGTTTGCTTTACCAGAGATGAAAGTGCAGGCAACTAGGGACTACATACAGCAAACTGAGAAAGGGAGTAGCAGAAAGAAATGCATCAGTAAGATCCCTGACAATTACTGCTGTAGAAACACTGCTTTCACAGCGTGATTTGTTCTTCATGGACAGAAAAAACCCATAATTAAAGGAGTGAAATACCACTCAGCTTTAGGGTGTTAATAATACCCTTCGAGGTCAACTAGAAAGTCCACTAGTGAAAGTAAAAGGCTGCCTGCTGCCTAGAGCAGCCTTTGGCTCATTTCCACAAAGCTCTTATTCAGGTGCAAATTGAACCCAAGTCAACAGAAAGCCAAGGAAATAACTTGTTATCACACATCACACAATTGCTTGATGACCTACTTTCAGTGAGTTAGGGGCCCTAGTTTAGTCTCTGTCCAACACACCTGCAAAAACTCTAACACAGCTCTCGGAGTAATCAGGGTAGCCATGGGATGAAAAACTAGTGTCATTGTGAAGGTCAAGTCACACTATTAAGGAAGTATGAAGAAGTCTGCAAACAAAGACCTAGCTTAACAGAAGACTTCAATTCCCAGGGCAAGTACTCAGCTGTTTCTTATAAAACCCCCAGAAATTATCATGTTCAGCAGAAAGTAATGAAAGCACTGCATAATTATGTATTATACAAATTGTCTCTGAAAGTGAAAGGTTTCTCAGGAAGAGATATTTCTTTAAAATATCAGCATAGATTAAAAGAAATAATTCCATTTCATCCCAGTTTTTGCTGAAAAGCCATTGTAAAAGGCAAGTTATTTCATGCTTTCTCCTCTTTTTTGTTTTACTACCATTTACCATTTTCCCTTCCTTCTTCTACCCCATGATTTACATCCTACTTCTGTACAGCTCTTAAACTTACATGAATTTTACAGAATGCAGCTTAAAATTTGGCACATTCCTAAAAGCTTTCCTAAATAGGAAGGGATTAAAAAACATAGGAAATTAAGTTTTTATACAAGCACTTTGTGGCATTACAATGACTTGAAAGCTAAAAGCTTCTGTTGCCTGCTGCCTCTGGTCTGACATCCTCCACAGGTGAACAGTGATATGCAGGACTTTTGATTTTTCATAAATCTGTATTTTTTGCAAACCTTGTATCTACAGAGAACAGAAATGACCAAGAGAAAATACATGGATTGTGTGCTTCACATATACCATGGAACTCTGGGAAGCATGCGTCTAAAAACTCAAAAAGAATAAGCTGTGTGTTCATAAACGAAGCATGGCTGGATGGAGTTTCTGGTGGTAAATAACATTCTTGTTCACCTTGCAGAGGTTGCAATAACTGATCTCACAGGAGGAGTTTTTCTCGGGAAAGGATGTGGTAAAGTCTTCTGGATGATGAAAGGAATCACTGGATCCCTTGAACAAAAGCCAGCTGGATTATGAAAATCCCTGCAGAAAATGAGATTGCTCTCTCCTTTGGACACTAATGGAAAGACAGAGAAGAAGCAATCCCAGGCTTCCCTTGAGACAAAGTCAGGCAGGCTGCAGTAAGCTTGCTTTGTTCTGCTGGTCTATTCATCACTGATGTCAAGAGCATGACAGTCTTAACAAGGATCAAATGGTTTTCTCTACAATCTGTTTCTCAGATAAGGTCTCTGGGAAAAAAATGGGGTGGAGAAGGACAAGGAAGGAGAAGAAATTAATGAGGGAAATGCAGAAGGAGTCTTTTGTCACTGATCATGGATACCAGAAGAGATAGAGATCCTTTTTATTTTTTTCCCTCCATTTTAAAGCTACAGCCTTAGGCAAGTTATACCAAAATTGGGTTATTTTTGGCCCAGTGAACTATGATTCACTATTATAGCTAAGAATTTTGAAAAAGACAGAAACAATTGTTGATTTTAAATCCGCACGATTTTCTTTTATGGATGTAGTTTATTTTCTTGCTTGAAGGGACCTTTCCATTTTAGAATCAATTAAAATAAAATGTTAATACAAAATTGTCCATTTGTGCAATTTTCTTGACAATTTGGGTGGCTTTTTTAAAAGGCCCAAATAAAGGAAAAACAAATAGTGACATTTAAAACCCACAAACTCAGGATTCCTATTGGCTAAAGCTTTCATAAACAATTAAAAAAAAATCAATTTTTGGTTCTCCACAAAATACAGTGCAATTCTGAGTGGAAAACATGGGTTTCTCTACTTTCAGATGGTCTTTGTTCTTTTTAAATAAATGTCAGGTTCTCTCTGGAGTTGCAAAGACTATTTTAGGGCTAATGTTACATGTTGAGTGAGTATATATAAATACACAGTTACACAAAGCTTTTGCAGGCCAGAGCTGTATTTTAGCAAAGCATTCAAAGAGCACACCTACTGTACATACCTGGATGCTCACTTAACACTAACAGGTTAAAATATCTCACAAATTCATAGTGCAGGCTCCTTTTCAGAATACCATTGAAATGCACTCCCAGATTTACTCTTGTTCAGAATAAAACCCCATGTAAAAATAAGCATGACTGAACACACTCATTCAAATATGTTTCTGAACTGGTAGCTAGAAATAAAGAGAAGAAACAAACAGAGAAAACATAAAAATGTAAAGAGAAGAAAAAAAAAATAGAAAATGTGTGTCTTAATGGAAAGCTGTATGTGATACAGCAGAACATGGACTTACTTGAGGGTGGTGAGCTCGGTAAGGGATGGCTGGGTGGCCTTGAGATAACTCTCTCTCCGTGCAGCAATCTTTGGAGATGGCTTCGGGCTTGTGTCAGAGTCTCCACTGTCATCGTCCCCCATGGCTTTGATGTAACTGCCACTACGCATCCGGCGGCAGGGAATCTCGTCGTCTTTTCCTCGTGGAGTGTAGCCAGTCCATTCATCTTGAGGAACCTGAAGCGATAAACACAATTCTCTTGTTAATACACAAGCACCTCCCTGATGTTATTGGTAAGCCATAACAGAGCCATTACAAAAATTCTGAAGGCCAAAGGCTCTTTCTTAATCTCATTTCACCACGGGTTGTTCTTGCAATGGAGGCCCACTTCTCACCCTCCATAGTCAGAAGCACCTCTGGAGTTCTTCGCTAGTTTCCATTACTTATCTGGGAAGTTTCTAGCAAACATGCTGGCATAGAAGGCTTGGTTAGGCTTAATATCAGACTGGAAAAATCTTGCGTTTTTTCAGCTATTTTAATTCAAAGCCTTTATAAACCAGATCAGAGTATTTTTGGTTCAGCTCAACATATTGAACATCTCTGGGGAGGCACAAAAGCTGAAATATCAATCCCTGTATGACAATCTTTTCTGACAGAGTGTACACAGGAACACTCACCAGGATGATTTTGGCTCAAGATATATTTCAAATTAGTGGAGCTATGGACTAATCATCACAAAAGTAGGTTTGCAAGTGTGAAATTTTTCTGTTAGTGCTTCTGCAGCTTAATTGGTGCAATTGCACACCTGCAGCTTGCAGTGAGCCTCCTTTTGAATTCCATTAGTCTAAGTGTCTGAGTCCTTTATTCTCTTCTTTTTCTTCTCCTTAGTGATGTGCATTATTTCTCTTGAACTAAAGTCACTGCTGTCCCTTCTTTTTTTGCACTGGAAATCTGCAACAGTGGGAATGTGTATTCATGAGATTTTGAGACATAACAAAGAACAGTCCAAGAGCAGAGTGCTCTTTCCCACCCATTCTCTCCCTTCCTCTGCTCCTGGGGCTTCTGACCACATAAGCCAGCATCCTTCTCTTTCCTCCAACTGCAGAAACAACATGCAGTGGAGCAGGGTCATTGAAGCTATTTTGCAGGAACACCTTTTTTATCTAAAGGTGAACCTGCAAAAGGGATTTTTAGTTAAACAGATTTTGTTTTAGACTTAAATACAAGCAGTTGTGAATTTTTAGTTTTCTGCTTCTCTGATTCTTCTCAGTGAATCAGCTCTCTAAACCAGCCATAGCTATAATGCTCAGAAAACCTTACAAGCCACATTAAATAGGGAGGCATGAATCTGGGTTATGAAACTTGTCTTGTGACTTATAAATACTCTCACCTACCAGAAGAATCTTTTCTATGAGAAGTTTGTTTTTCATCAACATTTACCTTCAGCTGAGGATCCTGTGAATCCCATTGCAGATTTCAGCTAAAGCATATACGTGCCAGTTTGTTTAGACAACCAAAACTAAAACATTGCAATGCTTGCTAACAGCTTAGCTGTTGATTCCCACTACAAACATAAGCCTAAGTCCAGAGCCTGTAAGGCTTTTCAAATATTACTGCTAATACAAATAATTTTTATGGCCTTTTATTTGCTGTAAACTGCAACCCTAAATCCACTGTTCTATACAAAGGAACAAGTCACGTAATGGTCCTAAGTCTATATAGGCTTATTACTAGTTATAATGAATTAATTATATTAATTATATTAATTATATGAATATATTATTAATTATATATTATTATATATTAATTATTAATATATTATATATTAATTATTAATTAATATATTATTTTATTAATTAAACTATTCACAACCTATGCATTTGCTTTGTTTCCTGATGATTTCAAAACTGAAGACCTTGCCAACCTTCTTTCTTCATTGATTTTTCTTTTCCTGCTTCTGACATAATGATTTAGGGCCTTCCTTAGGCTGCCAGGCTCTAACAGTCCTTCTTTCCTCTTGTGTTCTGTTCTCTCCATTCTCTCTTGGCCAAGTCTAGCTTTGCAACTCACTTGGACCTTCAGTATTTTTCTCAAAGGACTGAAGATTTAATCCAGGAGATCTACTCTAGATTGCACCTTTATCAATATTCCTTCTTAAGACTCAGTCTTCTTTCTCATTACTTCGTTGTTCTCAATTGCTCCATGATTTATTTACCTAATTCTTGTGGCTTTTTAAAGTAATTACATTGTGGATTTTTAAAGTAAATTTCCATGTTGTCTTTAAGTTAATGGCTCTACAATTCTTATCTTCCACCAGCATGCAAATTTTGTTTTTTGTGGGTTTGAGGTTTTTTTTTTTTTTTTTTTTTTTGCATGTGTGTGTGTGTGTTTTTGCTTGTTTTGTATGTTTATGTGTGTTTGTTTTGTTTCTTTTAAAAGTTATTTCCCTGGGCTCAAAGAATCTCAGTTCCTTAAGGCAGGAATATAGTTCCATTATATGTAAGTCCTGTTTTCATACTGAATGATGAAATGCAGAATTGTGCATCTATAGGATGGTACTGAATAAATACTTATAAAAACACTTGAAATAGTCTTCTAGGAAAGGGTAAAGCTTTAACTAAAACAATGAGTTTTAACAGAATCTACTGGAAGAACAGGATTGAATGAACATGTCTAATATTTTTCTACATTAAAAAAAAACAAAAAAAGAAAGAAGAAGCAGTATTTCCATTCTGTGTCTTCTAGTTTATGCCTAGACACCACATCTGGAAAGATGACACTTTCAAAATGAAGGAAACATTCAGAAGAGGTTTCGACTTTCGATATAGAAGACTACGAAGTATTTACATTCCTCCCTTAGCCACTTGTGAAAGACAGAGTATAACATTTTTTTCAGGTCTTACTCTTGCATTAGTTCTAGGCCTGGAACATCATCAAATAGTGAGTATACAGTCTATATTCATACTTGGAACATACAGATTCTGCTTGTCAGTGTAAAACCTTGACTTTTCAAATCACTCATACAAAAAAGAATTTAAGACAGGTTTAGTAAACTCAAGCTTTGCTGATATTTTGATGCCATGATCAGACTTCAGTCAGCAGTTTAAAACCTGTAATGGTGTATTTCCAATCAGATTTTAGGCAGCTACTAGATATCGAAGTCAGAATGTATAGAGAATCTGTGAATTCTCAGAGGATATGCACTTTGATCTGTTTAATATTTTATTCATTATGCTTTAATTGAAGATCTTTTTCTTATTAAGATAAATTAGTGAATTAATCTTTAATGCACCAAATAAACTACGTTAGTATATTGTTAAGGTTGGTGTCTTTAATGGAGAAAAAGTCAGGGGAAATAAAGTTACAATGTTCATACAGCTCCCATAATTCAGGCAAGCTGAACACTTGTAGTTTTATTAAATAATAGATACAGTGTTAAATTTAATGCCGTGGTTTATAGCTGCAGTACAAGTGAGGAGATATTGTTACTGTGGAAACCCTTACTTTGGAATAATTGAGTTCTGTTATCAGTAACACCATGTATAAGTTCAAGACCTTTTATCCCAAAACTTCTCAAAATAATTTAGATACAATAGCCCAGGTTTTGAATTCTGGTTGCAATGGATTTACCCCAAAACTTTCTATTTACACATGCAAACACTGTGTACCGTGATGAGGTTTGAATGCATTGCTCTAGTCCCTCAATTTGTATGGAAGTTTCCAGTTTGAGCTCTCCTCCTATCAGGGAAGTGAGCAATCATTGGAAAAGAACAGCCACATTTTTAGTAGCTTTTCCACTTTTTAAGAAACACTAGTTGCAGAGAAAGAAAGCTGAGCTGTTCATACAGAGACCAGGGCAAAGCAGCCTCAGTGAGTGCCATGAACCCACTGGCTGGTTTGGGTACTGGAAGTCACCTGCGTGCGCAAAACCAAAGGCAATAACACAAAAGTGACTCAACTTCCATTTCCATATTATGGGTTTAAGAGCAAACCAAAGAGAAAAAGATGGCTGTGGTTAAAAAGCCATCCAGATTGAGAGAATGGACTGAAATACCAACCCAGATATGCTTCTAATTTCACAGAACACACTGAGGAATCCAGAGTGTTTGTACAAACTATCTTACCTGCCTAGACAAAGCTGCATTACAAGAATGTGATGGATATTTGATTAAAAAGTTATTTTAAAACTTAAATCGTAAAGTTTGACCATGTTTTTTGTTTGTTTGTTTTTGTTTTTTATTTTTGCAGGTATTTAAGAAGTCTGGTTTGTTTTCCTCTAAATATTGTTTTTACTTTTTTTTTGTTTGTTTACAGTAAGTTTTCAGTATATAATTGATTTTTTAGATGAAAATATGGGTCCAGCTCCCCTTTATCTTTTTTTTTCTTATTTCTTATATCACATTCACAAGAGCAAGAAACCCTGATTCCAGAATTTGGTGTAGGAGAAAACTGTGAGGCATCATATAACTGATAAAGAGCATTTGCAGGGTAAAGAAACACTTTAGAAGTTCTGCCTCAGCTATTAACAATTATAATACTTTTTATGAAAGGGTATCTGTCTGTGTCATACTTGAGTAGGACAAACAACCCTAAAAGGTCAGCATTTCCTTTTGTTTCAGGCAGATAAATAATGTCAACATTTTAATACTGCTGTGCCTATAGTCAAATACTTCAAGCAATACCTTCTAAAAGAAGTGACCTGATTTTCAGAGTGCTTTTTTGGTGCCTCAAAGGTATTGGCTGTAATAGACATGGCTCTAACAGCTCATGCAAACAGTGCAGTTCACTGTTGCAATGAAGTGTTTCATATTATGAGAAAAAAAGTAAAACATAAAGCCTTCTCCAAAATGCAAACTGCAAAAATAAATTCAATCACATTATTTCATACGTTCTGTTTCTACACATATGGTACTGTATGTACCACACATATGATACACATCCTGTAGTGTGATTTCTTCTGTTGGTCTGGAAAAAAAGCTGAGAGAAATGTTTATGTGAACCTCCAGCTCTCTTATTTTTTTTCAGTCAGGGGGTCTGCACAAAAGCTCTTATTTTATTTGAATGACCAATATTATGCCTTGCAAGGTCACATACTACACTGCACACAAGTGCAAATGCACAGTATCTTCTGCCTTAGAGGATTAATGGGATTAAGATTGACATACTTGAGATAAAGCTGTTTCATGCTTTTAAGAAAATCATATTATATAATTACCTTGGCAATTTCCAGTATCAG